ACTCTATCAGTCACTTGCGAACAAGAATAGTTGTTCACAACCTAGATGGACATGAACACCCCATCCGAACGGTTGTAGTGTCAACTGTACAGTTTGTCTTGACTGATTAGTTGCACTAGTACATTTATGTATTGAACAGGATCCCAGAGAGGAGAAGTTCATTTTATACTGATCGTCGTAAATGAACTAGGCCTCGGTTAATTACTGCGTTCTCTTAACCCGTAAGATATTAAACAGGCAGATATATATAATATATATTACTTTGATTCACATGGGTGAGGTTCAGTTCGCTGGATTAATATTCCTACTGTTTTGGGTAATATTATTATATATATGATGTGCTGTTAGGATATTTACGGTCACCATGTGCGTTAGTTTGATGATGTCCCCGGAGTGAGTTCATGAAGGATTGTTATGCTAAACCCTGCAGGCGGATTAAATTCCGGCATAAGAATGTGATGAACGAGCGCTAGCTTCGGTGAAATAATAATAAATTAATTAATTCTTGATTGTCAGTAATCGAATTAATTAATGGACATTATATCTTAAACGTGGGGAGGTAAATCGAGTAATTATTATTGGAGTCTCAAATGTAATTTGGGCTAGGGAAAGGGAGTGCAATAATATAATGTTGGTGGCCCATTAATATTATTTAATTAATTAGAGGAGTGGGTTTGGCCCACAGTTAGTCTAATTAATTAAGGAGCCCTTTTCCTAATCTCCTTAGGGTCCCTACTGTACCTCCATATATACATCATTAAGCTCATGAGAAGAGAATCTCAATCCTATTCACACGTGAATAACGCCGCCCATCTCTCTCTCTCTAGATCTCATTCGAGCTTTATCTTCTTCTTGTTGCTCCACTGGTACAAGTTGAAGAAGGGTGTATTGAGTAATCCAGTAGAAGATCTGTAGGTAAACCGAGACGAAATAGATTTTGACCTACAGAACTAACCGGAAGTCCGATTGAGACGTACAGTATACCCAGACGACCGTCTCGACGAGAGATTTCCATCGCCGCCGACGTCGCCGGAATTCGACGCCGCACGCGCCCCCACGCGCCGCCGGAAGGTGCCAGGCAGCAAAATCTCGTTTTGATCTGTTTGCATCCGTTTGATCCAGTTTTGATCTGATCTTGTTCGCGCAACCCAAGACGTGATTTGCGGTCAATCAATTGCGGTCAACCGTTCGTGGTCAACCAGATCTACATAAATTTTAAGCTGTAAGTTCTCTACGTCAAACCTTTAGATCCGCTGCGCATAGGTTTACGTTTGCTATTGAATTCGTGACTTGTACATAACGAGATCCTCACAGATCCCAACAAGATGGACATGAACACCCCATCTGAACGGTTGTAGTGTCAACTGTACAGTTTGTCTTGACTGATTTGTTGCACTAGTACATTTATGTATTGAACAGGATCCCAGACAGGAGAAGTTCATTTTATACTGATCGTCGTAAATGAACTAGGCCTCGGTTAATTACTGCGTTCTCTTAACCCGTAAGATATTAAACAGACAGATATATATAATATATATAACTTTGATTCACATGGGTGAGGTTCAGTTCGCTGGATTAATATTCCTACTGTTTTGGGTAATATTATTATATATAGGATGTGATGTTAGGATATTTACGGTCACCATGTGCGTTAGTTTGATGATGTCCCCGGAGTGAGTTCATGAAGGATTGTTATGCTAAACCCTACAGGTGGATTAAGTTCTGGCATAATAAGAATGTGATGAACGAGCGCTAGCTTCGGTGAAATAATAATAAATTAATTAATTCTTGGTTGTCAGTAATCAAATTAATTAATGGACATTATATCTTAAACGTGGGGAGGTAAATCGAGTAATTATTATTGGAGTCTCAAATGTAATTTGGGCTAGGAAAAGGGAGTGCAATAATATAATGTTGGTGGTCCATTAATATTATTTAATTAATTAGAGAAGTGAATTTGGCCCACAGTTAGTCTAATTAATTAATGAGCCATTTTTCTAATCTCCTAAGGGTCCCTACTGTAGCTCTATATATACATCATTAAGCTCATGAGAAGAGATGAAAATTCCAAAACACACGTGAATAACGCCCCACCTCTCTCTCTCTCTAGATCTCATTCGAGCCTTATCTTTTTCTTGTTGCTTCACTGGTACAAGTAGAACAAGGGTGTATTGAGTAATACAGTAGAAGATCTGTAGGTAAACCGAGATGAAATATATTTTGAGCTACAGAACTAACCGGAAGTCCGATTGAGACGTACAACATACCCAGACGACCGTCTCGACGAGAGCTTTCCATCGCCGCTGAGATCGCCAGAATCCGACGCCGCACGCGCCCTCCCACACCGTCGGAATCTCTCAGGCTGCAAAGTTTTGTTTTGATCCGTTTGGTCTGATTTTGATCTGATCTTGTTCGTGCAACCCAAGACGTGATTTGCGGTCAACCGTTCGTGGTCAACCAGATCTACATAAATTTTAAGCCGTAAGTTCTCTACGTCAAACCTTTAGATCCGCTGCGCATAGGTTTACGTTTGCTATTGAATTAGTGACTTGTACATAACGAGATCCTCATAGATCCCAACATGACAGACATGTGGCCACCCCCTGGCCACACGATCCAAACGTCGTAACCGTTCGATTCGAATAGTTACACCCATTTAAATTTTGAATTTCAAAAGGCTTGACACGTATCACGTTTTCACTGGTTAGGGTTGCCTATAGATTTTCTAAAATCCTTCTTACCTTTTTCTATTTGGAGTGAATTTCTTCTCCAGAGCAAACCCCAGAGTTTCTTTTTAGCGTCTTCTCCTCGGTAATTTCATTTTTCGAACTTTATTTTCTTTGTTTCATTCTTCGATTATGTCTACTTCTCCGAAATCCCTGATTCTTGTTTCTTCCGGAGATACGGCAGCGGCCGGAGTAAAAAATTTAGTGGTTTACTCTCCTAGGACAGAGGCGACTGCAGTGCTTTAGGCGACGCCGATATCGGTGGTCTGATGATAGGTCGAAAAATGTGTGCGTTTTATATAGTTAAGAGTGTATTTTTATACACTTAATTTATTTGCACGTTTATATTTTTCGACTTACGTATTATTTGGACGGATCCATACACATTGATATTTTTATGTTTGTTTTCAGCACGTTAGAGGATTTTCGTGAACGAGGAAGCCATTAAATAGCCCAATATAAGTCCTATGATTTATTGAAATTGGGCCCTAAAGGTCCATAACATTTTGGCCCAAGGACAAGAGCTCTAAGCCCACGGCCCAATTAATTATTAGCTACCAAAATCACTTTGAAGTATTAATTTATTGTTGCTAATGGACGTGAGAGATTATTTGAAGAGGATTGTGATTTGGGCCCACAATTGTGGTGAATTGGTGACTTCTGAAGAGTCCAATTTGAAGAGGATATTTGCAACAGAGAACACGCAGCAAAAGTACTCCACTCACCACACGCATATCATATCAGTAGAGGATTTATTTTACGAAAAGAAGAAGCACGCACACATAGAGAGA